CGGCATGGGTAACCCCAAAGGAGGAGCAATGGCATGTTATGTTTGTGTGCTGTTGGTGTAGTGGTTGCTAGCTTAGGCTCTGGAAGAATCAGCTTCAAATTTCCACTCTGCCAGGAAACTACCTGTTTGACCTAACAGTGCTGTTGTGAAGACAAATTAGGAAAAGGAGAAGCACGTCTGCCATGTTGAGCTCCAGAAAGGAGTAAGATAAAGATGAGTTAGCTAGATAAGGGTCTGTGTGTGTGTGTTCATAAACACATCAGGGTCTTTGATAAACACATGTTTCAGGGTTTTGTGGCATTAAAGAACTCTGATTTTTTTCCCATCCTTGTTCGCATCTTGATGACAAAAATTATAAAATGCATGTGTGAATGTGTCATCAGAGATTAAGTAAAACATATAGCCATCAATCATTGTTTCTTCCGTTGGACCAATTCCTGCCTTTTAAGGAAAAACATTTTTGGTTTCTCCCCATTTTTTTTTTTTAAATAAGGTACAGCCATTGATGGGAAGGCTGAGCTGATCATACTGCCCAGCCAATAAAGAGGTACTGGACAGGGTAATGCAAGTTTGCTTGCCTATTTAAGCTAGCTTTTGCTGGGAGAGATGCCCCAGACTCCCTCCATTGGTTAGAATTAGATCCTCACTTTGAGGTCAAGCAGGAATTTTTTTTTTTTGGGGGGGGGGATGCAATAAGGAAAAGCAATGTTAACAATAAATAATACAATAAACGTCAAAGTTTAGAAGCACCAAAAGTTTACTAGTTTCAGTGGGAAGCATGGCCAAGACTCACCTTCTGCAGTGGTTTGTAGTGCAGGAGGTGGGGAGGCTGGGAGGAGGTAGGCCTGGCCACATGGTGTCCTCTGGCAAGACAAAGTGTGGGCGGGTTGGCTCCCCAACAACTTGAAAAGTCAGGCCATGACTCATGGAATAGGCGTGGGTAGGGAAAAGCCCAGGAGGCTATTTAAATGGGCCAGCGTCTGCCTCTGTGTCCCTTGGATCACCCTCCCTCCCTTGTATAATGTTGTTTTGTTCTCCTCTTTACTGCCACAGCTTGGTGGTTTCAGCATTGGGATGGACCCATTGGGGGGAGGCCATGCCTGCATGCTCACCTGCATAAGGGGCCTTGGGGTGTGGAGCCACTCAGCCTCATGGCCAGGTGGGGACTGCCAGCGGGCTCCACCACCAGGTGGCACGGGGCCATATAGAGGCTGGTGCCCATATGTGTCCTGGTGTTTTGTCACTCCACGGTTGATCCCCAGCAGGTGGGCTGAGTTCAGGGCTCATCAGGTGGCAGGGTAGCCACCCAGTGCTTGGATCCATCCCTATGCTGTGTCATTACACCTTTGTCTGTATTAATAAAATTAAGCTATGACCATTTTTTAATCAAAAATGGTTGTGCATGTGTTTATTCCTTCCAACACCTCACACTCTACCCCTCCTTGATCCTTTTTCTGGGTGTAACTTCCTTTGTCTCAGTACAGCATATCTCCTGTCTGTCTGCCAGTGGATACAAGCAAAGCTTTGCCTTTGACTTTCATGTGTAAATGCAAGCAAATCCCAGTGATGGAATAGGTCAGGTAACCCAGGAACAAGGTTACATAGAACCAAAAAGCTCTCTTATACTCATTAAGATGGTTTAGATATAAAACTCAGGGTGGACTGTATGGCATTATATCCTGTGGAGCCCCTCCTTCCTAAACCCCATGCTTCCCAGGCTCCACTCCCAAATTGTCAAGAATTTCCCAATCTGGAGTTAGCAGTCCTATCCAAAGGCATTGCACTGCTTTTGCATTCTCACTTTTAAACAGGGGTCTCATCCTGCTGGAGCGCTCCGGTACTTAGCTCCGGGAGAGACTCTCCGAGGGGCGTGGCAGTAACATGGTAAAGCCCCACCCCCTTCTGTTTCCTGCAAAGATTGCGCGTGTCTCTCAGCCGCCAGGCCGTTTCCCACGTTCCGGCTTCTCCCTTTCTGCAACCCTAAGAAGATCTCAGTGAAACCAACGAGCCCTTTCACTTTTAGGACGCGCCCTACTTCTCCCGGGTCAGAGAGCACGAGGCGAGCAAAGATGATTAGGGTGCGCGAGGGGGGGAGAGCACATGGGAGAGCGGTGACTGTGTTTGTGTGCAGCGTACACGTGACTGGCGCCCACACGGTAGCGGGCGGCAGCTGGCTGGGGCCAAAGCTGCTGCTGCAGCTGGCTGGAGTCAGGCGAGAGAGTGGGCAGCCGTGCGTGCCGGGCGAAGGGGTTGACTCGGGAGTAGCGGCAGTAGCAGCGCCTGCAGTGCAGTGCAGACACGGGCCCGTGGCATGCGCCGGAGCCCCGGGATCAGATGCGGGCTTTGCGGGCTGCCCCGGCCAGGGCTCTCGGCTTTGGGGGCTGCGGCGGCACGTCCTATTGTGCATTCTCTTCTGGCAGTGGTGCCCCACTTTGCAGCTGCAGCCCCGGCTCAGCGGGGAGGGAACATGGCGACAGGAGGGAGAAGCGCGCCCGGGCAGCCCGGCTCTCCTCTCCGCCAGCCGCTGCTGGAGCTGCCGCTGCTCCCGTTCCTGTTCCTCCTCCTCACCTGCAGCCCGTGGCTGGCCGCCTCGCGGAGGAAGCACAGAAGCCCACCGATCTCCCCCCCGCGCCCTGGAGATCTGTCTGCCTTTTTTCCAGATGACAAATAAAAGCTATTTCCTTTCTGAAATAGCTTTTATTTGTCATCTGGAAAAAAGGCAGGCAGATCTCCAGGGCACGGGGGGGGGGGAGATCGGTGGGCTTCCCAAGCCAGACCCAGCTCACCCACCCTCTCCCTCCCCCCAGGGGCCATGTGGGAAGCCCACCAATCTCCCCTCTGCCGGTGATTTCAGGGGGTGTGGCATATGCTGAGTTATGCTAATGAGCTCCGGCAGTTCTCTTTCTACAAAAAGACCCCTGCTTTTAAAAGTCCATTTCATACCTCTTCAGAAACTCCATTGTGGGTTTTCCTACAGAAAATACAGTCTATGTAATTGTGTTCATGTGGACCTCAAGAAATGAAGTTACATTTAACCAAGGTTTTGGGCTGACTTAAGGTTCTACGGAGCTCTATATCCAAAGAGATAATACTTCAAATTTGTTAACATTTCAAGGGGGGGGAGATAAAAAAAAATCAGCCTGAAGATTTGCACCTGAGATGCAAGCAGTCTCCTCCCTTGCTCATGAGAATTTTGAGGGCTTCTTTCACCTCCTTATTCCTCAGACTGTAGTTTATAGGATTTAACATTGGTGTCACCACTGTATAGAGAAGGGAGAGAAACTTATTACTTTGATTTCCTGATTCTGTAGCAGTTGTGTTCCCTAAATATGTTGCACTACTTGTCCCATAGAACAAAGAGACCACCATCAGATGGGATGAGTAGGTAGAGAAGGCTTTGTGCCTGCTCTCTGCTGAAGGCATGGTAAGGATTGTGGAGATTATGTGATTATATGGGACTATGATCAGCATGAAAGGGATCATCACAACAAAGACAGACACCACCAACAGTTCGTTCTCATTCACAGAGGTATCCCCACAAGCCAATTTGATTAATGGTGCAATGTCACAGAAAAAGTGATCGATAATGTTGGATTGGCAGAAATGTAACCTGACCATCAGCATGGCTTGTATGAGAGCTATAATACTCCCACGAAGCCATGAGCAAGCTATGAGCCCAACACATACCCTCCTGCTCATCATTAGGAAATAATGCAAAGGGTGACATATGGCTATGTATCGGTCATATGCCATGGCTGTCAAAAGGAAGCACTCAGCAGCCCCTGAAAGAGCAAAAAAGTACATCTGTAAAAGACATCCGGCATAGGAGATCATCCTAATTCCACCACAATGTTGATCAACATCTTGGGGATGGTGATAGAAGTGTAGCAGATCTCCAGAAAGGACAGATTTCCAAGAAAGAAATACATGGGTGTATGTAGAGTGGAGAAGACACCTATAATAACAAAGATGAGGCTATTTCCCACTAGAGCTACCATATAACCCACTAATATTACAGCAAAGAGCAAAGCCTGCAGTTTACGGAAGTCTGAAAATCCTGTAAGGACAAATTCAGTCCTCTCCGTGTAATTTCCCCTTTGTAGTTCTTCAACATCTTCTGTGTCTGGGGGAAAAAAAGAAAGGAAGTGAGAAGGCTTTTTGTCTCACAGATTTTCTAGATTTGGCTTGGCTCTAGAATGACACTCCTCAGCCCGCCTTGTGCAGAGAGTGGGTAGGGAGGTAAGTCTCTCTCCACAACTTAGAGGGATAGGGAATGAGGCTGAGACATTGGCCCAATTTGCATCTAGCATTTGCTGTTGATCTAGCATTGCCATAATATGGCTTATCAAGCTCACTTTCAATCAGCTGACCCCCAATTGTTGCATCTGCATCATCTTCAAGGACAATTCCATGCAAACCACATTGCATTAATATAATCTGGCAGTTCCAGTAGTATGGGTCACTGTATCCCTCAAACGGAAGGGTTTTTGAAGCAGATGTAATTGACAAAAGATACTCCTAGAAACTGTACTGACCATCTTCTCCATCTGCATGGTCAGGTCTGGCACTATGTGGAGAACCAGAAGTGTTGACAGAAAGATAAATGAATCTAAATATGAATAAAAGAGGGAGCAGTCACACATCCTGTCTAGTACACAGCCATGCAAAATTATGCTTCCCATCGGGGAACTATAGGGGATTCATTCTGGAATTTAGACTGTTGTCCATCTATGGTTTAGAACCTACAGGGAAAAATCCAATATGGGAAGGAGTAAAGGATGATGAACAAAAAGTTAAGAAAAGATGAGAAATAAGAAAAACAGCAGAGAGAGAAAATACAATAAAATAATAATAAAAAATAAGGCACATTTTAATCAGTTTGAGTTCTATTTATTCAGAATATGCTTAATTCTTCAATGAACTTAGAACAATGTAACTCAATTGAGGATTGCATTAATATTGTGGCTGGATGGATTTGGAAAAGCAGATATTTCTACTTTCTAAAGAATATTTTTTTTGAACATCAGTTTCTTAAGGGAATCCTTCATTTCTTTGTTCCGGAGACTGTAGATTAAGGGATTCAACATAGGGCACACAACAGTGTAAAAAAATGAGAGCACTTCATCAGTTTCCCAAGAATTCGCAGATGTAGGTCTCAGATATGTTAGGACAGCAGATCCATAAAAAAGAGTCACCACTGTGATGTGGGAAGAACAAGTGGAGAAGGCCTTGCTTCTGTGTGTGGTTGAAGACATCTTTAGGACAGCATGGAGGATATGGACATAGGAGACCAAGATCAGCAAAAAGGGAAGCATGATGAACACTACAGTGACTGTGTAAATTATGACTTCACTTTTATAAATGTCCGCACAAGCCAACCTCAGCAGTGGAGGGAGATCACAGAAGAAATGCTTGATCCTGTTGGGTCCACAGAAGGGGAGAGTGAATATTATTGTTGCTGGTACTAAAACCACCAGCACTCCACTGAGCCAGCAGACTGTAGAGATCTGCAGACAAATGGTCCGGTTCATAATGGCCGAGTAATGCAAAGGGCGGCATATTGCTACATAGCGATCGTATGCCATGGCAGCCAGCAAGCAACACTCTGCAATTCCAAGAGACCCAAAGAAATACATCTGTGTGGCACAGCCAATGAATGAAATGCTCGTGTCTTCTGAAAGAAAGTTGAACAGCATTTTGGGGATTATAGTGGAGGTGTATCCAATCTCTAGGAATGATAAATTTCGAAGGAAGAAATACATTGGAGACTGAAGAGCAGGATTCGTCAAGCTGGAAAAGATGATGAAGATGTTTCCCATTATGGTCAAAAAATACAATGTCAGCACCAGCAGGAAGAGAATGATCTTGATAGTGTGGATATCAGATAATGGTTCAAAAATGAATCGAGACACGGGTGAATGGTTCCCAGCATCCATCTCACACCATTGTATTTTCTGCAGTGATAATGAAGATTCATTAATATGTTATATTTATGAACTCAAAGCATTAATTGTAAATGGTTGCATCCATTTCTCTATCAGCAGAACCCTTTCTCTTTTAAATGAAGAGCAGTTGGAAAGGACTAAATTGGATTCAGCTTGGTGAAAGGGAATAATTTGATCTAACCCAGTATCTCTTCCCCCTGATATTGGAGGTGTTTATTTTTATTTATCATGGTTGGATCCAAAGCATGACTGGGAGGACACAGCTGGCGGAGTGGAACTTTCCCACAGCAAACCCCTCCCCCCACTGCAGCTACTGAGGCCTCTAAAATTTTGCTCCTGAGGTTCAAAGAAGCCTCAGGAATAAAATTGGGGATGGGCAAAGCAGGGATCTGCATTTATTGGGGAAATAACAAAAAAAATTGCCTTCCCATTCTCCACAAATGGGTGTCATTGTATTGGTGGAAATGGCATTGCAATTGCAGAATTGCATCTTCGTATCCAGCCCTTGATTTATCTATAATTCATTCCCATGGAACTGAAGGCTTTTCAGATGCACTCCATGCCAGGAATTGGTTCACACTAGTCTTTAACATAAGAAGAAGAGCTGGTTTTATACCCCACCCTTTGCTACCTGAAGCAGTCTCAGAGTGGCTTACAGTCACCTTCCCTTCCTTTCCATGAAACAGACACTCTGTGAGGTAGGTGGGGCTGAGAGAGCTCTGGGAGAACTGTGACTGGTCCAAGGTCACCCAGTTGGCTCCATGTGGAGGAGTGGGTAATCAAACCTGGTTTTCCAGATTGCCACTCTTAAACACTACATAGAAAACAATCAGGCATACACAGTAAGCATAGAGCAAATGGGGAAAACCTGTGTGGAAAAGAAGCTAGAGACTGCTTAGTGTCTAAAATATGCAAATTATAATAATACAAAAAACAGATGCAATTACAATGTAGAAAACAAGAAAGTAAATACAATATATCTTTTCTCTTGAAATGAAGTTATTCATGAAGAGACGAAGAATCTGGATATTAACTTCATTTCGTAGATCTTCCTCAGTAGTAATTAAAGCAATAGCTTAAATGATATGTGTATTCAGAGCAATAACATTACAGTCTTCTGAGGTAAACAAGGATTGTATGGACGTCTAAGGTAGTGTACATGAAAAATTCTTCATCAACGGGCAGCTATTCACAAAACATTTTGATAAGGCTTCTCATAAAGCTTCTAAACCACTTTTGACTGCTAGTGCTGCCTCTGAAAACTCAGACAGCTATTCACAAAACATTTTGATAAGGCTTTTCATAGAGCTTCACAACAACTTTTGACTGCTAGTCCCAGGTAATATTTTGAATGGAAAGTCTGAAAGGAAATTTAGGCTAGAATCATGAAGAATCCACATGGAGAATCGAGTGAGAAGTAGAACCTCCACTGCTCCACTGTAGTGTCTTCCAAGACTATTGAGTCAAACAGAGACCTTACAGACAAGCCATCTAGCAGTATCTAGCAACTGGTTCTTCACTTGGCTGCCTCTGAACTACTGTTTTAAAAAAACTTCTGAAGAAACAAATTCTGTTATGAAGAAATTCCTGAATGTTCCTAGGAGAGATGCAGGAAATTTGATGGTTTAGCACACTCCACATAGTTTTTTTTTTTTGACATGAGTGAAATATAAAGTATGGAACAGACTCCAAGCCTGTTTGTCTAAAGTGACAGGTAGGTAAAGCAATGGGGGGGGGGATCTTGGAAGAATATGGAAGGCTGTAGAGAAGGATACAGAGAGGTAAAGGATCGCTGTATTGTTGTGTTTGTTTTATAAGAGGCTTGCAGGTTTCCACACATGCCAAAGATGTTTACATTACACTGTGGTATGGCATCAGCAAGCATCTCTGATCAAAATACATGTGGTTCTCCATCACCTATCTGGTTCATAACAGGGCAGTAAGTTGAAATCAGCGCTTACAAACATTTGATTGTATTTGAACAGCTCACATATGTTCTCAGTGGTGTAAAATTGTGGGCTGTGCTTGTACCTTCTTGTTCTGTTGTCCTGTGCCTTCCCCATCCACACCTGTCTCTACCAACTTCCCTCCCATTCTTCAAGTACATGAACCCTTCCCATTCACAAATGTACCCTGACCTCTTCCTCTGTCCCTTATGCCTGCATAACTGATGGCCTGATCACTCTTTATGAGAGATAATTAGCCTTTTTAATATCTGGGTTCCCGTCAATGTATACGAAGGGTGCCACTTATGCAGTAACGCTTTAATTAAGAGACGAAGGCTTGAATTTAAAATAACAATTCTTTACTAAACAATAATCATTCAAACAGGGAATAATAATAAAACCATACAAGCATTCAAGAACTAAGAAAATCAGATAGAATTATTACAGCACAATCAGGAAATAACGTTGCTTTTCTTGTAGAATATATTTACCTCAGATGAATCTCTCAGCTCCTAAAGCTTCCAGCAAAAGGGGCAGCAACGAATAGAAATAGAATGGATAGAGAGAGAGGAGAACCACGTGGCTCAAGACCAGCTGGAGACACGAGGAACTTAGCCCTAGCTGCAGACTAGAACTAAATAAAGATTCAAGTAAGAGAAGAAGGCTGGCTGGTAGTTCCGTGTTCTCTGTTTTAAACTTTCTTCAGGTGGGAGGGGAACGGCTTATCCTCATTATCATAGAGTCCTCCCCAACATATCCGTGATTGGCTATATGTCAATTTTAACTAATATTTATTAACTAATAGGTGGTGCTTAGATAGAAGCTTGGGATCACGTGGAACAGCGTCACCAAAAGGTCATCTGTAGTGTCAGCATGTCAGATAAACACCAGGTGCTTGTGAGATAAATCTTCCGGGAGGGTTCTCTTCAGGGTCAAACTTACTATCTCGGAGACAACAAGTCTAGGCACGACCTCGAAACCCATTGTCTTTTGCTGGTTTCTCCCAGCTTAACATACAGATAACTAGGGGCCTCTTTCCTGAGTCGTTATTTGCCTTAACTGGTTAATGATTCAGCTGTTTTTCTGTCTTCAAAACCTTTATTTGACCCTTCATAGCCGAAGCTCTTGGTCAGCGTTTCAAGCAGTCTTTTTAATATCAACTTTATTCATGTGTAAAAGTCCAATATAAAGACCTGTTCCTAACATAACGTAAGATTTATTAATATAAAAAAGCAAACTAACTGTCTGCTTCAGGGATAATTTACCCATGTTTGTTCTCACAGTGTTCTGCCACAGCTGTTATCCCCAAAAAAACATTTTCTGTCCAAAATATAAATAAATAAATCTCTCCATTAGGTGCAACCCTTTCTGCAGCTAGGGACCATCTCTCCATCTATGTTTCAGCCTAAAAAAATACTTAGATGGGAAATAAACCCTCGGTCAATTTCATTTCAGGTTCCTAGGCTCATAGGAACACCCTTCTATGTGAATATATTGGGTGTTCCCCCAGGGTATGGAGATGGGAATTGATAAAGGTTTTCAGTGGCTAAGAAAGCCATAAAGTTTGACCCTAAAGTCTGGCTTCACAAAGCCTTCTTCCATGCAAGGAGACTTCCTCTTGTGTGATACACCTCTTCCACCATAAGAAGACTACTTGCACTAGAGGAAAACTCCACTGAATCCAGTTATTGGTCAGTTGCAAGACACTGTGTGTTGCATTAGCTTGGGCAATCACAGCTGGGCAGTAGAAAATTAAAATGAAACTGGCATCCCTTATCCAGGGATGTGAGATTGTTTGTTTGCTTAGAAAATGTGTGTGCCGCTCCTTGGGAGACCTGCACGATGAGGATCACAAGGTAAAAATAACAGAATAGTAAACACATAGCAAAAAAAGCAAATGTCTTTTGTTCAATATTAAAACGAGCAAGGCAAGAAAAAGAGAAGGGAGGAGGGATTATGTCAACTCCACAGATGCAGAAGCAGCATAACCCGAAAGCTGTTTTTAGAAACAACAAGCTATGATGATTTGTGGCATAATAATCAAACATGACAGATTAGCAGTTACGTAGCTGCTAAACTGAATCCTGCCAGAACTCAGAGAGCTGCTCACAAAGAAGTTTGCAAGCACATGTTAGAGGCAACCAAAATAGGCATCTGAAACAATCCTAAATAGATCTACCTGTAAGTAAGTGCCACGTTGTTCAATGCTGCTTACTCCCAGGGAACTGTCCTTAGGACTGCAGCCATGATGCGAGAATTTCAAAATAAGTTCAAATGCCGATCATTTTGCCAAGCTCTCAGTATCCCTGATTCAATTAAGAATTATTCAGATTTTGTTCTTCTAACAAAAGCATTTGTGATATAATATCCATGCCAAATTTGGCCAGAAAATTTACCAATAAAATGTAACAGGATGGGCAGAAGATTATAAAACAACCCTAAAGTAAGTGTTTCTCATTTACCTATGTCAGAAAGATCATCTTTTTCAGAAGAATCATTCTTGCCACCTTTGCCTTATCGATATTAAACCTCCCCTGTGTCCCTTGAGATTTTCTCTTTGGAGAACTGAGCTGCTGTTACTAATCATCCATGATCCACAAACAAGGTTTTTAAAAGCCCAATTGCAAACCTGTCTAAAGATCTGTTACTGCCAAAAAACAACTACTACTCTTTGGAAAATGGATACATTACCAGTGTGTGTATCTGTACATGCAATGCATATACCTCATTATCAAAACTGGCAGAAGTGAATAGCATAGCAGCCAGGAAGGTTGGTCACTTGCTGGAGCTTAGATTGGTTTAGGAAACTCAGAAATTGTCATCTCTACTACTGTAATTCAGAAATCTGTTTTGGTCTCTCTTCTATGAACGGAAACTTTATTTTTGTGATGTTCCCTGTTTTCTTGCACACGATTTTTGTCTAATAAAATATATTCATTTTCAGCATGGCTTGTACAACTATAAATGAATGCCATACATATACAAGGAAGAAGGCATGAGAAATTCACGGGGAAATTCTCCCACTGGTCCCAGCTTTTTTCTCCACCTTCTAACAAAATCTTTTTCAGCAATGGGAAGGGCTGTGGCTTAGTGGTAGAGCCTCTGCTTTGCATGCAGAAGGTCTCTGGTTCAGTCTCTGGCATCTCCAGTTGAAATAGCCAGGCAGTGGGTTTGTGTTCAGACACGGCGTTTCAGCCGGCATAAACTGTACCGGTTGGAACCGGTGCAGTTTATGCCGGCTGAAATGTGATCACACTCACCTCCATTTTGCAGATCCCATCGCTGTATGCCCGCTCACACGCTGCGGGTGTCGGCTTTTTTTTTTAACTCAGTTTGAGCATGTGCATAGGCAGCCATTCACAGAATGGCGATCTTTGCGCATGCTCAAAGAACCCCATATTACATTTAAACTTTAAAGGTAAGGACTTACCTTTAAAGTTTAAAGACCAAACTGGCCTCCCTGAAGTCCCGGACTCCTCCAAAACACTACACTAAGGGCTTTTTTTTTTAAAACAAACGCTCAGGGCAAAGCTTCACACAAGCGCACATCGCTTAGTTTTTTTAAAAAATGGCGGGGGGAAATCGGAAGCCTCAGGCTTCTGAACGGAAGTGGCTAGACACCGGTGGAGAGCGATCAGACGGCGGGGTTAAGCGAATGCAACCGTTGTACTCAGGATACCACCACTTGGGGACCTAGTGGCAGAGTGCAATGGTTTAAAGGGCTTTACAACGGTTAGGGAGGGAAGACAGATGTTCGCCGTCTGAACGCCGGTAAGTACAACGATTGCAACCAGCACAGATTCCATTGTAAAGCCCCCGTCTGAACGCACCCAGTGAGAGATAAGAAAATCCTCTCCCGGAGACCCTGAAGAGCTGCTGCCACTCCGAATACTGACTTTGATGGACCAATGGGTCTGATTCAGTATAAAGCTGCTTCTTGTGTGTGTGCAAAACATTGGGAGAATTTCCATAAGCACGGAAGTGGAGTACTGACTGTTAGGAGAAAATGTAGGTTTATTTAAAGAAGAACAAACTTGGATAGAACATAGGAGAGAGAGTCTGCGATCACACATACTTAATAATCCACTTTCAATCCACTTTCAATGCACTTTCCAACTGGATTTTTACTGTGTGAACTGGCAAAATCCAATTCAAAATGCATTGAAAATGGACTGAAAGTGGATTATTTAGTGTGTGTGATCGTAGCCAGGGCTTTTTTTGTAGAAAAAGCCCAGCAGGAACTCATTAGCATAATAGGCCACACCCAACAGCAGAAACTCATTAGCATATTAGGCCACACCTTCATGCCTTCCCTTGGACAGGCCAGGGAAGGCACGGGGAGGCATTTAAATTAGGGTTGCCAAGTACTTACCGCAATCCGGCGGGGGACACATGCTCCCCGGCCGGAACATTTCTCCTTGTAACGCACCATGCCGTCGCGAGGAAATGACAGTGGGCAATGCTCTGGCAATGGGGCTGCAAACTCGATGGTAACATCGAGTTTCTGGCCCCATTGCCAGAGCGTATCCCGGTGTCACTTCCTGGTGACTGCATGGTGCGGCACACAAAATCCATCTCACCCACTTGCTGCCTCATGCTCCCCTCTCTTCACTTCTGTGCCTGGGATAACCTGTTAGGGCTTATGTCCTTTCTTCTCTGATACTGCTAAAGGAGATTCTTGGATAGATTGCTATGGGAACTGCTTTTGACACTCTCAGATAGCCATGAGTTTTCATTAGATGCGTCTGATGTCGAGTCGAATCAAATGTAATTAGGCAAGCAATTGCTATTTATGAAAGACTTTACAATATATTTTATTTTTTCCTCTCCACTGTTCCTGTTACATTTGATTTACATCTTTATGGCTGTATTTCATCTACTGCTTTGTCCACTGTCTCTGCAAATGTTTATGTAACAAGTGGAGCTCTGTTCCACATCATTTATTGATTCTGATCTGAAGCATGGCTCCTGAATTCACAGACTTGGGTCTTACTCCTTACTAAATTGTTTAAATCATTTCAATTATACTACAGAGTTTTTGTCCCTTACTGTCTTCCCAGGGAAAAATAGGACCCAGATTTTCATATGCCACACCAGTTCCCCCAAGCCACCTTTATACATAAAACATCCATGTCAGTGTGGAGTTTTGCTTCAGAATGAATTTTGCTTTCCATAGAACATGACTAATGGAACAAGGGAATACAATTCAAATGTGAGGTACTATACAAATAAATGATTCAAATCTACAAGGAAAAGGGGGTTTTGGTCATTTTTTTATTTATATATTTTATTTCCATATTTTATTTGCCCCTATTTTGCTGAATACAGTGTTCAATAAAAAGAATACAAAAGTTTGAACCCAACCAAAATTTAAGCTGGTGAAAAAGGAAGCAAAGCTCCCTTTGATTATACAAAAATGCGATGCTGGGGATCATAGGACCTGCATGTACAATGCCTTGGAAGTTGGGAGTGATGGAAAAGAGATAAATTAGGAAAGTCTGAATGAAGCTGCTTGGATTCAGCTCAAAACCAGAAACCTTTAAACATGTGCATTTAAATGCAGTCTTCCTTTGAGTAAGTCTCGCAAGGCCTCCTTCACCTTTTCATTCCTGAGAGTATAGATGAAAGGGTTAAGCAAAGGGGTGATCACAGCTGTCAAGATGCTCACAGCTTTCTTAAGATCCAGAGATGGTGTCTTTGATGGCCTCAGATACATGAATATGGCACTTCCATAATATATGGAGGCCACAGTAATGTGGGCACCACAAGTGGAGAAAGCTTTCTGCCTTCCACTGGCTGATGGGATCCTCAGAACTGTGCTGATGATGGAAACATAAGATACAGTGGTTAGTATCAAGGAGCCTAGAAGTACGATGATCGCATTTATGAAATTAAAAAACTCAATGAGGCGTATGCTGCCACAAGAAAGTTCAAGGAGTGGTTCAGAATCACAAAATAAATGATTAATGACATTAGAGCCACAAAATGGCAGCATGGAGATAGCAATCACAGGCCCTATCACCAAAACAAATGCTGTCACCCAGCAAAAAAAGACAAGCCAACTACAGATCCTGAAGTTCATGATGGAAACATAGTGCAGTGGGTTACATATCGCTACATAGCGATCAAAGGACATGATGGCCAACAGTAGGAACTCTGCCACTCCAAGGAAGAAATAGAAAAAACACTGAGTTAGGCAACCATAAAATGAGATTGTCTTGGTCCTTGAAAGGAGGTTGGAGAGCATGATGGGAATAATGGATGATGTGAATGCAATCTCCAGAATGGACAAGTTAAAGAGGAAGAAGTACATAGGGCTATGTAGGCGCACATCAAGTAATATCACAGCAACGATGATCAGATTCCCCAACAATGTTAATGTGAAGGTCAATAAAAGCAGACAGAAGAATAAGATCAGGAGGTGATCAGGAAATCGGATGCCCAGGAGAATGAATTCTTCCAGAGTGCTGTGGTTTTTTGATTGCATTTACGCCGTAAACTGGAAATAAAAAGGAACCAAGCTCTGCATTAATAAATCTGGCAGTTAAAACTAGTCTGCATGCACACAGAAGCTTGCACCTAGAATAAAACTTTGTGGATCTTAAAGGCGGCACTAGACTCAACGTCAGAGCAACATGGCTACCCAACTGAATCCATTTATTTATTTACAATCTTAATCCACCTTAGTCCACTTAGCCTACAAAAGATTGTCAGCTTGCTCAGACAATTACAGAGCTCTCTACGGGCATTATGGGCTTTCATTTGGGACTTTCTATCAGTGAAAGAGACTATTTCCACTGAAGAAAGGCTCTGTCACCAGGTGAATGGAGTCACTGGATGCAAGCTGCAGATTTAGGTTTATTAAAAATCCACCCAAACAGATATATCCTAACACCTTAATATAACCAGCAAAAATATATAGCAGAATTACACAGTGAAAGGAAACACCAACAACTATAAACTGTGCAGGAAAAAACAAAAAAAAACCCAATGAACAAATAAGTAATATCTATTCAGGTACAAAATTTGACATAATCATAGAAATTATATCCCAATATATAAACACAAGGAACCACTCCATAAATATACACATCATTAAGCCATGGTGCAAATCTTTATAAACATTCTAAACTAGATACGTTCAAAGAACAATGTAAACAGTCACAGGATTTTTCCTCAAGCTGAAGGCAGAGAGAACTGAAGACGACTCGCAACTTTTGATTACAACTTCACACGTTCGCCAGCTTCCTGATTTCCACATTCCACAAACGCTTTATCAAAAGTCAATACTCTCTCCTGTAACAATAATTCAAAAGGAATTCACAACAATAAGAACTACAGTATTAGAACTATAAAATCAAGAATTTTGGAGCACCGTTCTCATATTTGGAACCATAGTCTTGAGGCTCCAGTTTAACCATGAATCTGATTCTTTATGGTTTTTCGTGTTATATGTTTTTAAAGGGCACATATATAATAGATGTGATGTAAATAGAGTGTTGCTTCAACAGGAAGCTAGGTTGATATACAGATTTAATACTATGGTCCTCTATGGTCTGAATCAACAGTTGGATTACAGCTGTTTCATATAACTTTGTAACAATTTTTGTAATGGCTGCAACATACTACAACAGTGGGGTTCCTTTAAATCTGAAGAGGTTTCTCCTTTAAGAGGAAGTTGAGAGACTCATTAAGCACTTGATTCTATCAGAACAGAAGATGCAACAGCACTTGATTCTATCAGAACAGAAGAAGCAACAGCTGCAGCAGAGACTCTTTGGTATTTCAAGCAAGTAAGTTACATTGCAATGTTTGTTGATTTTTGAAAGTATGTTGTACCCAATTTTACTGGTTTTATTGTTGTGGATTCCTTTTGAATTATTGTTACAGGAGAGAGTATTGACTTTTGATAAAGCATTTGTGGAGCAGAAATCAGGAAGCTGGTGAACGTGTGAAGTTGAAATCACAAAATGAGAGTCATCTTCAGTCCTCTCTACCTTCGGCTTCAGGAAAAATCCTGTTGACTGTCTACATTGTTCTTTGAACGTATCTATGTTAGAACGTTTATAAGGATTTGCAGCATGGTTTAATGATGTTATATTTATGGAGTGGTTCCTTGTGTTTATATATTGGGATGAAATTTCTATGATGTATGTCACATGTTGTACCTTAATAAATAATATTTATTTATTCGTTGTCTGTTTAATTTCATTACACAGTTTATAGTTGTTGGTGTTACTTTAATATAACTGACAGTTTAAAAATTGGAAAATATTTGAATATCAGAATTCAGACACATAGATCTCTCCTCCCATTCCAGCATATTAAAGGTGTGGTTCCTGGAATATCTTTCCTAATTTAGTTATGGGAAGGAAAATCCCCCCCCCCCATCACTTTTTCAGATACAGCTATTTATTCCTCTCATTCTGTTTTTTCATCTTTCAAAAGATGGGTTTCTCATTAATTTCTCTTTGATGTCTCTGAAGAAAAATCAGTGCAACCTTTTGTAATGGCACTCCTTGGAATCAGATTATGTAACATAACACAGGGTATTTTTTTTTTTAGCAGGGGGATAGGATGGTTTGGGAAGTCCTACCTCTGCCATGAACTTGTTAGATCATGGTCACATCATTATCATTCATGCTATGTTCTCTGTTATTAAACTTTAATAGGTATCACTTCTAAGTGCTCTCTACAAATGACTTGCATATTGAATGTCGAGGCTCATTATGGTTTGGGCCAGTATCTTTTTAAAAAAAATTAGTTGGAATCTCCTGGCCTTGTTTAGAATATACCATGAAATCCAGTCACTCTCTCCAGTCTTGCCTATCTTACAGGGGGTTAAGTGCAACCAGCTTTTCTGGGAGTGAAAAAGGTTTGACTGTCCAAAAAGACATGGTGGGGATAATAGAACCTGTGTGGACAAAAGTCATGTGTCTGTCATAAGAACTGGTACTGGGCAAAAGAGTGAAAACATTGGCTGGATCTGACCCAGGGCTATCATTAGAAGAGAGACCTATGCACAATGCCTTGAGCTCCTTAGAGGGAGCAATAGATCCAGTAGGTAGATAGTAATTTCCCATGCTGGATTCTCAAACACAGTGGGAATTTCCCAGAGACTTTCCATAAGGCCTCCACACAGATCAGTGAGAACAAAATGCCCTTTTCCTTCCAATACTTAATGGGATTTTTAAAAGGATAGTTATTACAATATAAATGTGGGAAACATTAGTGAGTAGGAAGGGAAGTAACGTGACAATATCAAGGACACAAGCTCTTCTTTCTTCATACAAAAAAAACTCTTTTGAAGTATAAGCGTGTGATAATGACGTTTATAAAGGCAAGGCAAAACATCATGTGGAAGACCTGTGATTACTTTCCCAACTCTTTAGTGTGACTCCTGTTCAACTTTAATGGGGACTGTGAGCATTATTATATTAGTAGTGCTAGGATAGGGTGGTGGTGTCTTTATATTTTCTCTTTCTCTGGAAAAAAAAATCAGCTGCTGCTGAAATTCTACTAATGAAGAGCTACTGCAGTTGGGAAAGCCAGAAGAAAGGCACCCCAACTAGCTGAAAAGAATGGTAGGATCCAACCCAGTATTATCCCACCCTCCTTGGAACCTCCCATCCAAATGTAACAGTAAATAAAGTTTTAGGGGAGAAATGCAGAAAATGCTAGAAGAAGAAGAAGAAAAGGGAGAATGTGCCACTGAGTCACAACTGACTCTGACAAACCCAACCATGGGATTTTCAAGGCAAGAGAAGAGCAGAGGTGGTTTTCCATTGCCTTCTTCCACGTAGCAGCAGTCCCAATCTTCCATGATGGTGTCCCATCCAAGTACTGACCATTGCCGCACCTTCTTAGATCACAAACACTGACAACCTTGGGCCAAACTGTGCTATTTGGTCTGCTACAAAAATTGGAAACCAACAGTTGAAAGAATTTACCTTTATTTTGAAGAGTTTCCCTGTTAAATTCTCTGCAGTCAGGTACCAGAGGAGTGAAGAAAGGGTCCTTGGGACATGTGAATGAAGACAATGCTTGGTTTTTTCTGCTAGTATGTTTGTTTTTTTAATGTCGATTTACCAATAGATCACAGATTTTAAAAAAATTGGGAAAGAATCTTTCTCTGTATACTGTGGAATCTTTAACTCTGGTGCAGTTCATCAATGAATGAACCCATTCCCTTCTTATTTTAAAACATATTATCATTAATGTTTGTAATATTTTGCACAATGCAATTAGCAGAAAAACTTTAATTAGCATGACTGATTATTTTGGAGGAAAGCAGAGTATGCTCGAGGGAATATTTAAAACGTTAATGTCTAGGGACTTTGTTTCTGATGGTAGGAAGGAGGTGTTGCAATTAGTTGGTGAAGTTTAGTGATAAAGTTAGAATGACGGACTTGGACTAGACAGCTACATTCAAATGATGAATTTCAAGAAGTAACGCTGCCAACCCTCCAGATGGGGCCTGGAGTTCATCTGGAATTACGATTAATCTCCATACTACAGAAATCAGATCCCCTGGAGGAAATGGCTCCTTTGGAGGGTTGACTCTGTGGCATCTCTACCTCCAAATTTCCAGGAGTGTCCCAACCTGGGGTTCCCAACCCTGTCAAGAAGTGACACCATCTTTGTGCATCGTGCTGAGCTCTTTGTAGAAATGCAGGAGTATAAATATGAGTGGTGTCACTATACAAAGCCAGCTGCCCATATATTTAGCATGGTCAATAGGCTTAAAAAGGCATAACTCTGCTTTCATGTCCTTGTTGTTTCCCTATTATTTACAGAAATATTTTGATTTATACTTAATTGGACAGACAACTGTTCTTCTCTGGTCACCGTTAATCATCTATGTAGTGTTATATGTTTTAAAAGTTTACCTTATGAAGATGGCAGATTTAGAGAGGAATACAGCACTGTCTGGGTACTGGAAGCTGATTAATGAACTATGTGTGAAATTAAATTTGTCTTAATAACACGGTTCAACAGCCCTCAGCCCCTGCGGCCATTGGGCCAGGGGAGTGAATTTGCCGCCTAGTTGGAAGAGGCCGGCAGTTGTTTGGGCACCAACGCGCCCATACGGGCATCTCAGAGAGGAGGGGCCAAGAAGGATATAAAATCTGCCCACCCTTTCCTCGTCAGCAGTCCCACTTGGTCGTCGACCCACCCTCCCGCCCTGTTTTTAGTGCAGGCTTTGGCTGGTCACCCAGTTGGGGGCCAGGTAGGAATTTTTCACCCTTTCCTGATTGGCAGTTGGAGGGGGTATTTTTGCCTACCTTGCACTTCAGAAGTGGTGAAGGTGTTTGCTAGGGTGGGCTGGGTAGGTAGGTTGGTCACTTTTTTAGGCAGGGTTCTAGGTGGTATATAGGTTGCAATATAGTGAGCACCAGCCAACATGCATTTATGTGGGTTGACGGGGTCTTGTGAGTACAGCCTTTGTGCCTTGCGGAACGGGGTGGGGAAAACAGACTGCCTTTGGGACTACCCCACTTGTGTCCTCTCTTTGAGCCTAGCAGCTTGGGGGTTGGGCTACGGGGCTGTCCTGCAATGACTAGCCGGCTGTGGGGGAGCCACTGATGATGGCTCCTGCCTGGGGCAGGGTGGCTTGCCCTATTGGGAGTTAAGACCCCTGGCCTTGACCATACCGCTGAACTGTTTTTGCCCTTGCCATTGGTTCCAGTTGAAGTTGTCAGTTCATAAAGTGGCCCAATATTTAAATCCATCACCTGTGTCTGCCTCATTATTCCGGCTTGAGTGGCAACTGATCTATGTGAATGATCAAAAGCTCACTCGGAGTTGCTTCTCAGTTCTTGTGAGCTGCTGGTCTTGAGGCTCTCTGTGGGCCTTCCAAGCTCCATTTTGCTTTAAGGGGAATATGGATATGACAGTGTCCTCCATCAGTGTCCTGGCCCCACTGCTGGACCTTCTGATAGCACCTAGTATTTTTGGCCACTGTGTGTTGTACTAGATGGGCCATTGGCCTGATCCAACATTGGCTTCTCTTATGGTCTTATATTCTTATGTTTGTGGTGTTGGAAAGGTCCATCAAGTCACAGCTAATTTATGGCTACCCTGTAAGGTTTTCAAGGCAAAAGATGTACAAAGATAGTGCTTCTTTTTGCCTAGACTTCCTCAGTGCCATGTCATCCAAGTACTTACCAGGGCCAACCTTGCTTAGCTTCCAAGATCTGATGAGATCAACCTAGCCTGGATCTTGTACCATATGCTAAAGGTGGAAAGCATTCTCTTCTCAGTCAAAACTCCAGTCAGCTTCACGGATTTGAGATTGGGAGATAAGGCTTTTAGGGAAAAGACCAGCACTTCACATTAAGTATTGATGTATTTAATACAATTTACTTGCATAAATCTAGGAAATATTTTCTTGCTGCAAGGGTGCATGGGTAAATTAACCATTTGTTATGTATACAAAGAGAGAATTAAAATTAAACATGCATACAAGAGGGGATTTGGCCAAGGAAAAGATTAAAAATAATACTTAGGAAATTACAATATGGAAAGTGTTCCTCACTATACATACCAATAAACAAATAGTGTAGGTGATTACATAACACACTTGAACCCATTATTCTAAATCATAAAACTGGTTCTGATACTTTACCAAAAGAGAATATGGCAGTTTATACTCTGTTTATACTCTGTTTAAGGACGGCGGAAGACAGGAGGGCCTGGCTTGATCTTGTCCATGAGATCGCGAAGAGTCGGACTCGACTGTGCGACTGAACAACAACAAAAAACTCTGTTTAAGGCCCATTTTACAGTGGGACACTTTACTATGGTTTCCTGATAGTCGCTGTGGCTGCTGCCATTGAAGCAAAACATCAGTGGGGTTCCACACAGTGGCATTTCCTTGCATTTTCCTGCACCTGTCTCTGTGGCAGCCGCCTCTGCACTATGGGGGGTGCTTTTTGAGATTTTTTTTTAAAAAACCCTCAAAAATCCCCACTGTGTCATGGCCAGGGTGGCAATGACCACTGAGGGAGCTGGGGCTGGGAAAATGGCACCAATGTGGGCTGAACTTAGAAAATCTCAACTTTCTTGCCTATACACCAGCTGTCCCAGTTTTGCTGAGTTATTTCCCAAAACACATCAGCAAAACAGGTCCAGGAAGGATCACAGAAAAGATGGGGGAAGCCCGAGATGTGCAGGGGTGCATCGTGACATTATAAGGAAGCGGGGGGGCACTTCCCATCAGCAGTTGTGCCAGGGAAACAAGTGGTGTGTGTGAAAGTGACCTATGTACAAAAGTGTACTCATTTTATTTTTTCCTTTGTGTGTATATGTCCACAATAAAATGCAACAACTCTGAGGGGACAAAATGTGAAAGTTAGAGTTGGATCTTTTAGTGAGGGGGAAAATATCATGTACAGAGAAACAAAACAAATGAGTAGAACTGGACTCTCATTCTCTACAGCACAGCTGATTTTGTTTTGATGTTTAAAAAACAAGAATTCTGAAATGCTGCATGGTCAGCAAACTTCCTGAAGCCCTTCTCCATGGCTTTCTTCACTTCCTTGTTCCTTAGACTATATATAAGGGGATTAACCATAGGAGTCAAGACTGTGTAGAAGAGGGAGAAGACTTTCTTCACATATCTCAGGTTCCTCGAACGTGGAAGCATATAGACAAGCATTAGAGTTCCATAAAAAAGGGCAACCACAGTGAGGTGAGAGGAGCAGGTGGAGAAGGCCTTTTGCCTGCCGGTGGTGGATGGGATTCTGAGGATTGTCACAATGATCAATATGTAAGATGTCAGCGTGAGTAGAAAGGGAGGCAAGGTGAATGCACAGGCAAATATGAATGAAGTCATTTCTACAATGGAAGTGTCACTGCAGGAGATTTCCTTTATGATGGGGGATAAATCACAAAGGTAATGATCAATTTCATTGGGGCCACAGAATGACAAAGAAGTTATTGAAAAGGTTGTGCTTGTGCTAACTAAAATCCCACTGATCCAAGAAATGGCTGCTAAATGCAGGCACAACTTGCCGTTCATGAGGGTGGTGTAGTGCAGTGGTTTGCAAACAGCTAAGTACCTGTCATAAGACATCACAGACAGGAGACAACATTCAGTACCTCCCAAGCAAGCAAACAGATAAAACTGGATGAAACAGGGTTTGACAGATATAGTCCTTTCCCCAGTCAGAAGACTCGCCAACATTCTGGGCAAGATGGTTGAGCTGTAGCAGGATTCCAAGAAGGCCAAGTTTCCCAGGAAGAAATACATGGGGCTTTGAAGATGTTGGTCAGCCAGAACTAGCAAAACAATGAGGAGGTTTCCAGACATGGTCACCAAGTAGATCACAAAGAAGAACAGGAAAAGAAGCAGCTCCAGTTGGGGGAGATCTCCAAATCCCAAGAGGATGAATTCAGAAACAGTTGTTTGGTTTTGCCATTCACCATTTTCCATGGGCTGCATCTCAAGGAAACAAAACATGACATATTTGATAAATGATTTGGGAGTACATTTTGTTTATCTCAGATTCACATTTGTGAATTCCTGGGGCAATATGTGGTAGGTACAGCTCTTGGATGGTTTAGAACCAAATCATTGTCTTTACTGGGTTGGATCCAATGACTCCCTTTTGCTGGGTTGGATCCAGCAACGTCCTGCTATCTTGGCCTGGTTTACAGTCCCCAAAGAATGAGGTGCTATATTGTTGAGATGGTTGAATGGAGTCCAGTCCTTCACATTTCTGGTGATAGATTCCAGCTATGAAAGTTCCATCACATATGCAAACAGAAAACTAGCCATCTGAAAGACAGTTGCATCATGATAATGGAATGTGCAATTCTACATATAAAGTGCCCTTCTTAGGTTATTTTTTTAACTAAATAAAAAATGTCACTAAGGAATCTTGAGCATGTGTTCAACAAAAATATCAACAGAGTGTTCAGTGGCAGATTGAAAAAAGAAACATTTCCATAGTGGGGATGATTAGAAAAGGGATTGTCAAATGAAGGTTCAGTATCACAATGCCCATCTATAATTCTGAGCAGCCACATTTGGAAGACTATGTACAACTGTTGTCACTCCATATCAAAAAGGATAGTTGGACTTGTTGCAAGAAAAGACAACCAGTTCAAACAATTGGTTGAAGCACCTGTCTAAAAGAAAGGCTAAAACATCTCTGGTTTTGTTGTTTTAGAAAAAGAGGAAGAAGGATATGATACTGGGAGGGGCCACTGCTTGCTTGGTGGTATAACCTCTGCCTTGTATGCAGGAAGCCTCAGGTTCAGTCTGCGGCATTTCCAGTTAAAACACATCCATGGAGAAGGTGATGTGTAAATTCTCTATCTAACCTCTGCTGCCAGTAAAGTAGACAGTACTATTCTTGATAGACCTGTGGCCTGACTCAGTATGAAGTAGCTTCCTGTGTACATATGTATGTGAAGTCTAAGTTTCAAGCATCATTGGGAGAAAATGTAGACAATGTTTTGTTCTCTCTCACAACCTTAGAGTTTGGCAGTCACCCAATGAAGTTGCTTGCCAACAGATTCAGACAGATGAAAGTACTGCACACAGTTCGTAAACAACTTATGGAAATTGCTGCCACAAGGTATGGTGGTGGCCATGAGCTTAGGTAGAAATCGCAAGATCTGTAACCTTTAAAAGAAATTGGAATCATTCATGAAGGCTAGGTCTGTGAATGGCCCACATTGCTAAACTGAACTTTCAGATTTCAGGTCAGTTAACCTCTAAATACCAATTGTTACAGGAACCAACTGTCCGGCTGGTATTTTCCCCAGATGTATTACATTCGGCTAGATAGGTCCTTCATTGGAATCAGCTCCCCATCACTACTACCACTCAGTGATTGGCCTAAAAAGCAGCACGGAACATTTTAAATAGGTTGCCTCCATATGTGCATAACTGCCCTCAAGTCAAAATTGACTTATGGCAACCCCAGCAAGAGGTTTTCAAAGCAAGTAAGAAACAGAGGTGGTTTACCATTGCAGAGTCTTCTTTGATGGTCTCCCATCCAGGTACCAACCCTGTTTAGCTTCTGAGATCTGATGAGATCAGGCTATACTATGCCACCTTCCATCCATTGCCTCCATAAGAAAATAATAATCCCTCCATGTGGTAGACCAGCAAGAGAATAATAAATCATTAAACCATGATTTACCGTGTGGCTGAAATAGTTTCATGAAGCTGTAGAAGGATCTGTTCCGTAGCCTAAAGCCACAGCTTGTTGTTCTCCATAGACACATATGTTACATACTTAGTCCTATTGAAAAGTCTCAGTTTCTTGTTGTTTCCACTCCAGTGTACATATTCCTTGTTTTTCAAATAGTGTTTGCTAGATAACTTACATCTCTGCCTTCTCTTTCTAAAAAGGTTTCCTTTTAATACTGTCAAGCCCTATTTAATTTCACAAGAAGATACATGTCTCTACTGAATTATTATATTTATTCTTTGTAGGAAAGTAGAACATTTCCCTTGATGTTTTCAAATATACCCCTTGCAATCTAATGGGAAAGCCAAGCAGAGAGGGCCTATGGCTCAGTGGTACTATACACGTTTCATGCGGAAGGTCCCAGGTTCAATCTCTGACTTCTCAAGTTAAAGCTAGCAGACATTGGGAAAGATATTTTTGTAAACAACCCTGGAGAACTGTTGTCAATCAGAGGAGTCAATACTGAATGACATGGACCAAGAAGGGAATTAAGGTTTTAACCAAAATTCAAACATAACCATGTATAATAAAGACACATGATTGTTGGCCTCCCACCAACCATGCAGTTCTAAAGACTTCAAACCACTCAAGTTTCCTTGAAATAACAATTTTTGCTGATTCCTACCTCCTACTGTGGACCCTTTGCTGTTCCCCTGGATCTTCAGACTCCCAAGAACAAATTTTGGGGGGTAGTGGTCTGCAACAACCATTGCCCCTTCTTTAGAAAAGTCAAATGTAATCAGAGGTCATTTCGGGGGGATCGGGGGGGATCGGGGGGGATCGCAGTTCCCCCGGGTGAGGTACGGGGGGCAGGGCACATGATGAAGCCACGCCCCCTGCTTCTGGCCGCCCCGCTTCCGGCCCTCATTTAGCCAGGAGGAGGCAGGAGAAGAGGGAGGGAAAGTTGCTTCCTCCCTGCCTCTCCCCACCCCTGCCTGCCTGGGGCCAGGGAGGGCCTTCGCGGGGCTTCCTTGCACTCCCGCTGGCCTTGCAGGTCCACCGCCGGGCCCCTCATGGGGCTCGGCAGTGGAGCTGCAAGGCCGGCAGCGACGGCCGGAACCATTGGGGGCGGGGTGTGTGGCCTTATGACACACTTCCGATGATGTCAGGGGGTGTGACCTTATGACACACTTCCGGTGATGTCAGGGGGTGTGGCATATGCTAATGAGTTATGCTAATGAGTTCCCCTAGCTCTTTTTCTACGAAACGACCCCTGAATGTAATTAAGTTTCCAGAACTGTATAGTGGGACAGAATGGATGGTAGCACAGAAATACACAGAAAGACACACAAATTCAAGCTCCTAAATTTTTCACCCTTCTATGTTTTTACATGGCAGTCCAAACCTGTGACTTATTGTGTTAATTAAGCTATGAGTTACAGTTTGTATATCTTATTATATATGGTTTATCAGTGTTAAGACACTAAGGTGAATTTTTACAGTACAACCTACTTGAGCTGAGTTTTAGGATCAAAATGTATTTAAAGCCAATTTATCCTATTTGTGTCACTTGCCAAAACTGCAGGATGTCAGATTACTGTTGTCATTATTCTGCTAAAGTAATCTTTTATATCAACAGCAGAAAGCAACCGCATTCATTTATTTCTTTACCGTACTTATTGTCTGCATTTTGACCAATGCTGTCAAAATGATTAACAGGATAAAGAATGACTTATCATTATCCATGCAACAAAAGCGGATGGAGAGAAAAGAGGAAAATAAGTACATCTTTTGGGTAAATCTGATGAGGATAGTGGTGATGGGAGGAAAGTGCTGTCAAGTCATAGCTGACTTATGGCAACCATGTAGGGTCTTCAAGATAAGAGATGTTCAGAGGTGGTTGGCCATTGCCTGTCTCAATATCACAACCCTGGTGTTCCTTGGAGGTCTACCATCCATTTACTAGTCAGTACTGCTTAGATTCCAAGATCTGTACAGGGGAAAATATTTGCACAGTTGCATGCTGACCAGTGATTGAGATGATTTCTGAAGGCATTAGACAACTCCTTCACCAACCAAATGAACCAATGAACTTCACCAGTATGATGGTGGGCACACGAACTAAGTGACAGACCCACTGGCAAATCTCATTACCAGAAATACTTTCTCTGATCCTTACATGCACAGGAATTACCTTAATGAGGAAACAGAAGGTTGTATCCATCAAACTTTTCTGTTAATCAAGCTGGAGGAAGGAAGTGTTCAATGACCACCCCTCCTCCCCCAAAAAAAGCTAGGCTGGGGACCATGGAACATATATGAACAACAGCTATGTGAGGAGGGGGCTGGATTATGGAGGAAACTTGTGTGAGGTTGGGTGAAAAAACTGACTGGAGGAAATCTAGGATTTCTACAGCAGTAACCCATTCCAGCCAATTGCACTGGCTACCAAATTGTCTGGACACACTTTGGGTTGCTAATTTGATCCTATGAACTCATCCAGGCATGGGATCTCAAACAGCAACTGCACTTTTATAAGTGTCTATGTTAAACTATGAGAATCAATGGGTGAAATAGTAGCCTTTAAGTCATTCCTTCACTCCAAATTTACTTTCCCTAGAAGAACCCATTCAAAGAGAAACAGAGCAAATTTTGCATTTTGGTTATTAACTTTAATACATGATAGCAGGTAAGAAACAGGAGGAGTGTGTAAAGAATTGAAACTTTTTATACATTTACTTACTTAATTTATATTTTACTTTTTATTTAAAAACAACCCACCAAGGCAACTTGCAAGCATTAACAAAATTACAAAAAGAGATCAATAACATTGACTAGCAATAGAAACAGTAAAACAAACAATGGAATGAAAAGCTAAAGTCAATAATCTATCAGATATATTTAGCATTATTTATTTAGTTCATTTCTTTCTTGTCTTTCCTCTTCCTTCATCTATTTCATCCTCACAACAACCCTGTGAGGGAGATTTGCTCTGAGTGTGCATGACTGGCCGAAGATTATCCAACTAACTTCATGGCAGTGTGAGGATTTGAATCTGAGTCTTCCAGATCTTAGTCCACCAAGAGTAACCAATATACCACACTGGCTATCAAATGCATGACATTCAAAAGCAGTAATTGTTTGTATGCCTCAAAAATCCATCCATCCATCCAATAAAGACTTTTTCTTCAGAAAGAGAAGGAAATAGCCAACAGCTAATTCACTAAATCATGCCCAATCCCTGTTGATTCATTTCAATGTCTAAAAACTAGCTTTTTGAAATATTATGTAGAATGAGAGCTTCCTGATCCCTTTTCCCAAAGCTTCCTTCACCTCTTTGTTTCTCAAGCTGTATATCAGGGGGTTGACCATGGGCGTTAGAACAGTATAGAAGAGAGAGAAGATTTTCTTCACAAATCTGAGATTCCTGGACCTTGGGAGCATATAGACCAGCATGAGTGTTCCATAAAACAAGGCAACCACCATAAGGTGAGAGGAGCAGGTGGAGAAAGCCTTTTGCCTTCCAGTAATGGACTGGATTCTGAGGATAGTAGCTATGATGAAAGCATAGGATGTCAGGGTAAGTAGGAAAGGAGGTAGGGTAAAAATGCAGGCAAATATAAAGGCAGAGAGTTCCACTAAATGTGTGTCACTGCAGGATATCTGTTTTATGTCAGGGATTACATCACAGAAGTAATGATCAATTTCATTCGGGCCGCAGAAAGATAACTGTGATACCCGGACAGTTATGCTTGTGCCAACCAAGATTCCGCTTACCCAAGATCCAGCTGCCAGCTGCATGCATAACCTGCCATTCATGACTGTGGCATAATGCAATGGCTTAGACACTGCTAAGTACCTGTCATAAGACATCACGGACAGGAGGTAGCATTCGGCTCCTCCCAAGAAAGAGAAGATAAAAAATTGTATCAAACAGGCTTTGACAGATATACTTCCATCACCTGTCAGCAGTCCAGCCAACATCTTTGGCATGATGGTTGTGCTGTAGCTAGACTCTAAGAAGGAGAGATTGCCCAAGAAGAAGTACATGGGAGTGTGTAGGTGTTGATCCACTGCAACTAATAAAACAATGAGGAGGTTCCCAGTCATGGTTGCTGAGTAAATTATGAAGAATAGTACAAAGAGAAGAATCTGCAGCTTTGGGAGATCTCCAAATCCCAAGAGGATAAATTCAGACACTGCCGTTTGATTTTGCTTTTCGCTGTTTGCCATCGGCTGCATCTTGAGAAAACAAAAGACTCAGTTTAATATTTTTTGCATGAGGGAGAGTATGTCTTTTGGACCAGCTTTAAGAATGAGAAGAATCCCTACAAAATACATGTCTGTGTATAAAGTTCTGTCAAGTAACACCTGACTTTCGATGACCCCAGCAAGGGGCTTTCAAGGCAAGTGAAACACAAAGATGGTTTGCCATTACCTTCCTCTGCAGAGTCTTCCTTGGTGGTCTCCCTTCCAACTACTGACCATACTTAGCTTATGAGATCTGATGCCTTCCCGCCCATATAAAAATCCATGAACGTCTATCAAATCATCCATTTAAAGAGCTCAGAACCAAGTCTCGGACCTACCAAATTATATTTGAACACCTGGTGCTCTTTTAAACATCATTATCTTAAACATCATCTTAAACATCATATGAGTGAACATTTGCAGAATCACTGTAACCAAACAGAGATGGTTCAATAAATGAATGCTTGTAACATTGCCTAGAATAATAACTATTACACAGTAGGATGGGCATCACTTTGTAGTCTTCTGCAAAGTAGTAGTCTTTGGAGACGCATCCAAGGTAGACTTTATTTTACTGCACATTATGGTGGGCTTGGTTCTATACCTATTTCTGGCATTAGGGGCAGCAGGAATGTCATTGCGCATTCCCTGTTCCCACAACAGCAGCACAATCTCCTGTACATGTGGAGGATAAAATGTCACACAACCCAAATCTGAAGCCCCCACTCTGAAATCTTTTCATACAACCATCATTTTGACAAACGGGTAGGGAGGTAACTACTCCACAGTACCAAATGCTAGATATCTTGAATGATAACTTGTAGGGGAAAGGACAAACCTCACCTTTTAGCATGTCTGTTTGATCATCAAAAGAATGAGGTGCAAAAAGACCATATTTCCAAGTGATGGTGTCATAGTTCATGGTGATAAATGTTTCAACGCTCCCCTCCCCTCAGCAGTTGGATCTATCCCAGTTTCTTGTATGCTGATCATTGCTAAAGACAGCTATTCCATGACTGATGGTGCTGTACTAAAGATCTGTAGCATTTTCTCTCTACTTCTTTTCTCTCCTCCTAGCCTTTAGATATTTACCCAGTCAGAAACTCTCTTACCTCTCTGTACTCATTCCTAAGAGTTCTGTTTTCTGATCCAAGGCCAAGCTCAGTCCATAATAAAGTGACTTTCTGTAGAATTCTAATTTATATACTACACTATGAGGTAGACAATGTCTCTTGATAGTTCTTGTATCAGGTGCTGTAAGGCACTCAAAGAAATCAGATTTCCAGATGGGAGTTAGGTTTTACTCCCTCAGCAGCAGTAACCTCCACCATTTGCAGGAGCTGAGAAAGTCACAGCTTTGAACATTCTGTCTAGGGTTGCCAGCCTCCCGGTGGGGCCTGGGGATCTCCCTCTTTTACAACTGGTGTCCAGCTGACAGAGATCAGCTCCCCTGGAGAAAATGGCTGCTTTGAAGGCTGGACTCTATGGCGTTGTACCATGCTGAGGCCCCTCACCTCCCCAAGCCCCACCCTCTCCTGGATCCACCCCCAAAGTCTCCAGGTATTTTCCAACCCAGACCTGGCAACCCTAATTCTGTCTGATGCTCCATCTGCATTCTACCACTGATTTTGTTTACCTGTTTATTTTCACCATCATTTGTCTCTTTACTGTTCATTCCATATGATCTCCAAGATTACTGTGCAGGTAAACTTGGTCTAAGGTGGTACAATGAGGCCTGGTCTCTGAGTAAGAAGAAGAGAAGAAGAAGAGATTGGATTTATACCCCGCCCTTCACTACCCAAAGGAGTCTCAGAGCGGCTTACAAACTCCTTTCCCTTCCCCTCCCCACAACAGACACTCTGTGAGGTGGGTGGGGCTGAGAGAGCTCTGACAGAAACTGCCCTTTTTCAAGGACAGCTGTGCCAGAGCTTGTGACTGACCCAAGGTCACATCAGCAGGTGCAAGTGGAGGAATGGGGAATCAAACCCGGTTCTCCCAGATTAGAGTCCGCGCACTTAACCACTACACCAAACTGGCTGCTAGCCTTTAGGTGGTACCTGGAATTACCCCAGAATTACAAGTAATTTCCAGTTCAGTTTTCTTGAAGGAAATGGGAGCTCCAGAGGGTGGACTGTATGGAGTTATGTCCCTACTAAGCTCCCTCCCAGTGGCACTTATTATATGAGGAAAGAGCCTCAGTCCTCAGAGACACTGAAAAATAGTCTAGTAGCCCATTTATTGAATCACACGCTGCTATATTTCTATGTTAAAATATATCTGCAATATTCCAGAACCTTATCCTTAATGGTTTAACTTCTGGTCTCCCTGTATGCCATTGTTCCATCTCATTGATTCTATTCAAAATGGTCCAGATAGGCAGATATTACTATAGTGGATTTTGGGACTCAGTGGAAGACTTAGTGGAGGATTCACTGTCCTTAATTTTTTTCAGAACTAATTCTATACCTCAAATATGTAGCCTACCTGGCCCATTGATTAGGAGTCTTGAGCAACTGGTAGAAAAGGAAATGTTATGCCTTTTGGTGTAGTGGTTAAGAGCCAGTTTGGTTCCTGGTTAAGAGTGGTGGACTCTAATCTGGAGAACCAGGTTTTATTCCCCACTTCTCCACATGCAGCCAGCTGGGTAACCTTGGGTCAGTCACACTTCTCTCAGAGCTGTTCTCTCAAGGGCAGTTCTCTCAGAGCTCTCTCAGCCTCATCTACATTGCAGTGTGTCTGTTGTAGGGAGAGGAAGAGAAGGTAATTGTAAGCTACTCTGAGACTCCTTCAGGTAGGGAAGGGAGAGGTATAAAACCAACTGTTATCCTTCTTATTCTCATCTTATCATGGATATTTATATTTATTTATTTATTTATTCATTCATTCATTCATTTGATTCATACCCCACCCTCCTCGCAAGCAGGCTCCCCACAAAGCAGGCAAAGTAAGCCTCACTCAAGGTGAGTCTGGTTTTAATCCCAGTTCTACGAGACAGACCTTACCTTCTCTGATTTATAAGGCTTGAAAAATATTGAATGTATTGATTGATAAAAAGTATACCCCATCTTTCTTCCACAATGGGGCATTTCAGGTAGCACACAGAACATCAAAATATATATTAAAACAATGTATTATAGAATGATAAAAAATCAGCAGTAATTAAACAACAACAATAAATCAATACAAATATTATACATAACTGGGCATGAGGATATACAGACACTCAGTTAATCACCAAAGGTTCACACAACAAGGACAAATTTTGCCTTGCACCTAAATGTCTACTAACATGTGACCATAGCTGGAGTGGACCACAGAAAACATCTTTTGTTTGATGGGCACCTGTCTAACTTTTGAGGTCAGGAACATCAAGACAAAGGACATCTGATGATTTTCTCAAATGATGAGAAGGCTCACAGGAGCAAAAAAAAAAAAAAGAGAGAGCTGTGTTCAGCCAACTTTTCCAATGGTAAAAAAGGGAAGATGATGTCTCCATTAATTATCAAAAGGTTATGTCTGGGGGATTATTGGAACTCCATGGGTAAAAAACCTGTAGACACGGGCTGTAGTAAGGAGTGGCATTAGGTGAGAAAAAGTAAAAGGTCTGGCTTAATCCAATCCAAATTGACTCTACAGAAACTCTGATCCAAAGCTATTTTGGACTGTAAAGGCCATTGCTAGCACTTTAGATCAAATCCAGAAACACACTGCAAGTTGGCAAGTATTTAAGAACATATGAAATATGCTCACTACTATGAGATTTTGTAAAAAAAAAAAAAAGGTCCACTATATTCTAAACTAATTGAGGTTTTGGAATGCTGTTAAATGGCAGCTCCACATACAGTCTTCTAGCATGATTAAACTGTAGAAAGTTTATTCTTTTCCCAGAGAATCTGCACCTGATGTACCAACTAGTTGGAAGAATATCTTTTGAGCTACAGATACCAGTCATGCATCTATAAGTAATACAGGATGCAACATCCCTCACAACCTGTGAACCTGCTTTTTAAAGAGACTATTCATCATCAGTTGGATATCAGCTCCATAGAGTTGTCTCATTGTGAATAATCCCTGAAGGTACTTAGTAGAAGATAGACCTTAATAATTTTACAGAGTTCAATGTTGTTTTTTAAGGGAATAAGTGTGCTGGCTCTTCAGAGGATGCACGTGTGTTAATGTTTTGTCCTGTGCAGGAAAGGAAGGTTGGGAATATCTTTGTACCAGTTAAATAGTATCTGGACTGAACTTTTGTTTCTCCTCTATTGCATGTATTTAGCCTGGATGTGGTCAGAGGAATGAGCCTTTGGCATGAGCTGAAGGGCAAGAACCGAAGGGCTCTTGATCCTTGGATCTTAGTCCCATCTTGCAGCATGTGACCTTTACTGAGCAGGCCTAACTGATCTGTAACCACCCAGGAGTTGGAGTTGTGTTGTATATTCCCCCCCCCCATTTTTCTTAAGCGCAACTTTGATAAAACCAGCTCCCGAATATGTTAGTGTCAACAAATAAGAACAGAAAAACTAAAGCCAGAGGACTGGTCAGAATTGTTGAAAATAAACTCCTGTGATAATTTCCTAAGTAAGAACCCATCATACACAGGGGGAAATTAACCACATAAATACAGACAAAAGCAATAGACAATCCATACATTCCCATGGATTCCAGTTTCTCTAAAATTCCCGTGGGGTGGAAAATCTATTATGGTGTCATACATGTTATAAGCCTCTTGCAACCCCTTCTCATGGCCTCCTTCACTTCCATGTTTCTTAGGCTGTATATTAGTGGATTGACCAGAGGAGTCAACACTGTGTAGAAGAGGGATAAGACTTTTTTTACATCTCTTAGGTTCTTGGATCTGG